GAGTGGAGAAATAGAAGAAAGAATAGGAGTAAAAAGAGGGAGGGGGTGGTGGTGGCGAACAATCGATGTGCATATTGGCGTAAAGCCAAAGTGACCTGGAGATAGAGACGTATAGAGGGCAGCCAAGATAATTGACTGGAATGGAATGGGAACGAATGGCCCGATTGCTGTCTATTAATTAAGCTCGCACGAACACAATGAAAGATTGTACAGCTTTTAATATTCCGTTATCAAGTACATCAGTCTCATAACAGTAATAGGGCTCAAGAACAGATTGAAAACGTAAAAAAAGCAACAAAACGAAACATGCATGCCTTTTGTTTACCCTCAAAACTCTTTAAAGAGTTTAGATCAAATCAGAAAAGGAAAAGATCAAAAGGCAAAACAAAATCCTCGGCTTGTGTGTTCATGAATTATTTTTTCTGAGCTTAGAGCGATTTGTTTAATTTCCAATCACGTCTAAATATTCAATAAATATTTTCTGTTCCGCCATAGAGCTAATAAAATTTTTGTTAGTAAACTTTATAAACCGGACATTTCACAGTTCTACAGTTAGATCTATTCTTAACGAATCAGGGGCGCCTTCTAAACAGCCAAATTGATCTCTTTTAAAAATTATGCTTTTTGGGTCCCAATCAACCCAATTTAGATCTTTTTGGAGACGGGTGTTGACTCTGTCTGTCAGGACAAACCCTGGCTTAGAGGGGTTCAATGCCCGAGAAGAGAGACCGAAGTACTCCATTTTTAAAAAATTCTCCTCAACGGGAATCGAACTTGACTCTTCTGTGTGCGACGACGAATCGCATAACTACTACACCACAAATGCTTATCGTTTGTCTTTACTGACAATTTCAACTGACAGATTTGTACGGTGTCTTTGTGCTGTTCAGTAATTGCCTCGTATGTGTGTCCGTGACATGTTGATCCCAAAATGAGCCTCTGATCGTTCTGACAATCTGAAGATTATGTTTAGTTTTAGTAAGTCTTTTAGCCTTTGCAACATAACATGGTCATGATAATATGAGTGCCGAAGATTAGAGATGTTACTAGAGAGTAGCAAACGCAGAATAGAAGAAGAAATAAGGACGGCGGATGTTTCATGGGAAAGGAGGAGTAAATCGTACCTGAACTACTGACAATCACCCACACTGATAATAATACTCTTTAACTCACCACTATCGAGAACACCAACCCCATTGGTCTTCAGCTAACTCGGAAGGTAGCTACAGGACGCATACAAATATTTCAAAATTGTAGTTTAAAGTATGTAGCAAAAACCTGTTCAGCTCATAATTACTTGTTTCTGGATATGATTGCTTTGTCGGGTGATATTGTATTACGGATATTATGATGTTGTATATTATTGTATATTGGTATGCTTGTGTGTAAATGGGTTTTTTTTTTGGGG